GAGTCCACAGAAAAACAGGAGAAAGTACAATTGACATAAAAAAAACTGTTCACAGAAGAAATAGTAGAAAACTTCCTAGACAGATGTAGAAAATTGGACATACAGATAAGTGAGACATATAGAACTCCAACTAGCCACGATCAAAAAAAATCTATACCTAGATATACAATAGTCAAGATCCCAGAAACCCAACAGAAGAACAAAATCCTACAAGCAGTTAGAGAAAAGAAAAATCACCTACAAAGGAAAGCCCATCAGAATCACAGCAGACTTCTCAACACAATCCCTCAAGTCAAAGAGAGCCTGGAGTGAAGTATTTCAAGCCCTTAAAGAAAATAACTTCCAACCTAGACTGTTGTATCCTGCAAAATTATCTTTCAAAATCGATGGGGAAATTAGACACTTCCATGACAAAGAACACCTGAGAAATTTCATGAACACCAAACTGCCACTCCAAACAATTCTAAACAATATCCTAGAAAAAGACAATGAAGGTCACATATCCATGAGGCCCAACAGAGTGAACCCACCAGGCAAGGCAAGAAACTAAAGGGAAAGGGGGAAAAATAAAAGAGCCAACAACAGTAAAACATGACAAGGATGAGTTAATATGTATCAATTATAACCATCAATGTTAATGGACTCAATTCTCCAAACAGAAGAAATAGAGTGGCAGAATGGATAAAGAAGCAAAATCCAACACTATGGTGTATACGAGAAATACACCTAACTCAAAAAGAAATTCATAGACTGAAAGTAAAAGGATGGAAATCAGTTCCCCATGTGACAGAAACCCAGAAAAAAAGCAGGGGTAGCAATCTTATTTGCAGAAAGGGAAATTTCAAACCAAAACTAATTAAGAGAGACAAAGATGTTCACTACATTCTTGTGAAGGGAACAATCCAAAAGGAAGAGATGACAATCATAAATATATATGCACCAAATACGAATGTCCACAACTGTATAAAACAAATGTTAATGGACATGAAAAACTAAATAAGCACTAATACAATTGTAGTGGGGGTCCTCAATACCCCACTATCAGAAATAAACAGATCATCTAGAAAAAAATTAACAATGAAATTCTAGAACTGAACCAAGCTACTGAACAAATGGACTTAGTAGATTACAGAGTGTTCCACCCCACAAAATCAGAATATACATTCTTTTTGGCTGCACATGGGTCACTCTCCAAAATAGACCACATGCTAGCTCATAGGACATATCTACGTAAATGTAAAAGAATTTACCCCCTGTATATTATCAGACCATGGTGCAATAAAATTGGAGATCAATAACATAAGAAACCGCAATACCCCCACAAACACATGGAAATTGAATAACACCCTCCTGAACAACCAATGGGTCAAAGAGGAAATTAAAGAAGAAATTAGACAGGTTCTACAAGCAATTGATAATGCCAGTACAACATACAGGAATCTATGGGACAAAATGAAAGCAATTCTATGAGGGAAATTCATAGAAGTGATTGCTCATATTAGGAAAACAAAGAGAACTCAAATAAATAACCAATGCAGAACTTCAAGCTCCTTGAAAAAGAAAAGCATGACAAACCCAAAGCTCATACAAGAGAGGAAATTATAAGGATAAGAGCAGAAATCAATGCAATGGAGGGCTGGGGATCTAGCTCAGTGGTTTCACCGCCTGCCTTGCAAGCGGAAGGACCCGAGATTGATCCCCGGTACCAAAAAAAAAAGAAAAAGAAAGTAAAAATCAATGCAATGGAGATGAAGAGAACGGTACAAAAAATCAATGAATCAAAGAGTTGGGTTTTTTGAAAGAATAAATACAATCAATAAACCTTTAGCCAACCTTATCAAAAGAAGGAAAGAAAAGGCTCAAATCCATGCAATTAAGAACAGAAAAGTTGCCGGGGATTTAGCTCAGTGGTTCCACCGCTTGCCTCACAAGCACAAGGACCACAGTTCGATCTCCAGTACCAAAAAAAAAAAAAAAAAGAACAGAAAAGTTGAAGTCAAAACAGATCCAGCAGAAATCCAGCGGATCATCAATACCTACTTCAAGAATTTGTACTCTAATAAAATGGAAAACACAGAAGAAATTGACAGATTCCTAGATATATACAAATCGCCAAAGTTAAATGAAGATATAAAAATTCTAAACACCCCAGTTACAATGAGTGAAATTGAAAACATAATTAAAAATTTGCCAACAAAGAAAAGCCCAGGTCCTGATGGCTTCACTGCTGAATTCTACACGACATTTAGAGAAGAACTATCACCCTACTCTTTAAATTCATCAAGGAAATTGAAAGGGAAGCAATACTTGCAAATTCATTCTTGGAAGCACGTGTTATTTTGATTTCAAGACCAGGGAAGAACCAACCAAAAAACAGAACTACAGGCCAAACTCCCTAATGAACATAGATGCAAAAATCCTCAACAAAACACCGGCAAACAGAGTACAGAGGGTCATCAAGAAGATCATACACCCTGACAAAGTCTGATTTATCCCAGGGATGCAAGGATGGTTCAACATCCATAAATCAATAAATGTAATACACTATATTAACAGAGTCAAGGACAAAAACCATATGATCATCTCAATAGATGCAGAAAAGGTATTTGACAAAATCCAACGTCTATTCATGATAAAAACTCTACAGAAAATTGGAATAGAAGGTCTTTATCTCAACCTGATTAAGGCTATCTATGAAAAACCAACAGCCAACATCATACTAAATGGTCAAAAACTGAAAACTTTCATGCTAAAATCAGGAACAAGACAAGGATGGCCACTATCACCACTCCTGTTCAATATAGTTCTGGAAACATTAGCCACAGCAATTAGAAAAGAGAAAGAAATAAAAGGAATAAAGATAGGAAAGGAAGAAGTTAAACTGTCATTATTTGCTGATGATACGATACTTTAAAAAGAAGACCCAAAAAATTCCACCAAAAGACTTCTAGACTTAATTGACAGATTTAGTAGTGTAGGTGGATACAAGGTCAACACTCAAAAACAATAGCCTTCTTGTACACAAATAACAGACTCACTGAGAAAAAAATTAGGGAAACAATTCCTTTTACAATAGCATCCAAAAAAAAATGAAATATCTAGGAATCAGTCTAACAAAGGAAGCAAAAGACCTCTACACTAAAAACTACAGCACTCTGAAAAAAGAGATCGAAGAGGATATAAGAAAATGGAAAGACATCCCTTTTTCCTTGGTAGGAAGACCCAAGATAGTGAAAATGGCCATATTTCCAAAACTGCTATATAGATTTAATACAATGCTGATTGAAATCCCAACAATACATTTCACAGAACTAGAGAAAACAATCTGAAAATTCATTTCGAATAAGAAGAGACCTAGAATAGCAAAAGCAATTCTAGGCAAGAGAGACATGGCAGGGGGTATCACAATCCCCATCTTGAAACTATACTACAAAGCTACTGTGACAAAAACAGCATGGCACTGGCAAAGAAACAGACCTGAGGATCAGTGGAATAGATTAGAAGATTCAGAAACAACTCCAGACACACTCAGCCACCTCATCAAAGGAGTCAACCACCCTCACTGAAGGAAAGACAGCCTATTTAACAAATGGTGTTGGAAAAACTGGATTTCAACCTGCCAAAGATTAAAACTAGACCCATATCTATCACCATGCACTAAGCTAAGATTGAAATGAATTAAAGATCTAAATATTAAAACAGAAACACTAAACTTGCTGGAAGACAAGTTAGTTAGAACTCTTGAAGACAATGGCATACGAAAAGACTTTTTGAACAAAACCTCAGCAGCATGGGAACTGGCACAAAGAATCAACAACTGGGATCTCATCTTATTAAAAAGCTTCTGCCCTGCAAGACAAACCACCAACAGAGCTAAGACACAACCTACAATGTGGGAAAAAAATTTTACCAGCTGTACTTCAGACAAAGGACTACTATCTAGAATATATAAAGAACTGAAAAAATCAGACCCCCCAAATACAAAGAACCAATCCAAAAATGGTCATCTGAAATGAACAAACATTTCTCAGAGAAGGAGAAACAGCAAATAAACATATGAAAAAATGTTCAACATCACTGGTCATTCGAGAGATGCAGATGAAAACAACACTGAGATTCCACCTCACCCCACAAAGAATGGCTGCTATCAAGAAATCAACCAATAATAAATGCTAGTGGGGGTGTGGGGAGAAAGGAATCCTCCATTGTTGTTGGGAATGCAGACTGGTGCAACCACTGTGGAAATCAGTATGAAGATGCCTCCAAGAAGTAGGACTAGAGGTTCCAGTTGACCCAGCTATTCCCCTACTGGGTATCTTCCCTAAAGAATTAAAAGAATCATACCACAGCGATATATGTGCACCCATGTTTATAGCAACACAATTTGTAATAGCTAAAGCTTGGAAAGAGCCCAAGTGCCCATCAACTGAAAACTGGATAAAGAAGATGTGGTTTTCTTATAAAATGGAGTACTACTCAGCCATAAAGAATGACAAACTAGAGACATTTATAGCTAAATGGATGCATATTATGCATATTGAAGCCATCCTCTTAAGTGAAATAAATAGGACACACATGTGTAAGTACCGAATAGTTTTCTATTGAAAATGTAAATAAGGATTAAAATGATTAAAACCAGTAATTGATAATTTGAAATAGCAAGAAAAGGTCCAAAGGTGTAGGGGAAGTGGGAGGGGATGGGGAAAGAAAACAAGGGAACGGAAAAATTCTAAGAAAAGGAAATAATGGAAACAAAGTCTTTGTAAATAGGGGAGGGTGGAGTGGGTGAAGGGAGCACAGGTAATGGGGAAAAAATAAGAACTAAGATTCATCATGTACAGGTACCAGTACCCAATAATAAATGTAAATGTATTGTATGCCTAAAATGTTCCAATAAAAGAATTTAAGGGGGAAAAAAGGTGGGAGGGAAAGAAATAGTGTGCTACTTTTTTTTTAATCTCTAAAACCGATGGTTCCCTGATTTTGGGATGTCATCTTACCTGTGTGTGTGCAGTGCATGCAAATCGCCTATAATAACCATAGTCACAAGATGTGTCCTCAAGACAGAAACTTGCTTTGTGACCTTCAGCCACTCTGCTCTGTGTGTTGGCATCCAGCAGGTCATAGTGACTGAATTCATCCATGCTGTGGTAATGTCTAATATCCCATACAACAAAGAGATGATAAGTGGTCAGTTATGGACAGAGAAAACAATTAGGATAGTGACTTCATTGCTGTCTCATATATTTGTTTTTACATTAAAATTGAGGTCAAGTTTGTCTTCTTAAAAAGAGATTTCACACTAGATTTTTTTGCCCTCAGGCATAGAAATCTATCAAAATTGTAAGCTTTTAACTTTGCTACTAGGAAGAAAGACTTATATATAGTCTTTATTGTTATATGGTACTAATTAACTGTAGGTTATTTTTGGCTATAATAGAATAGACACTTGTAAAAATCCTATCTGTAGTATACTGAAATAAAGTTTATTGAAGTCAACTGCTGTGTCTGTTCAACAGTTAATAAGCTGGACATAGAATTTCTAATTCAAAAATAAGGTATTCAGTAGCTGATGGATTATTTTAAAGATGATTCCTTTGATTATGTCCAATAATATAGAAAAATTCTAAGTGCAAATAATGGCTAATATCGTCCTTATATTTATCATATCGATGATTATCCTGAAAAATGAAAGAAAAACTCAGCGTGTACTTACTGGTGACAACTGTGCCATTCCCAGGAATATCTTGGACGGCTTGGTAAGAAATCAGATGTTCCTTGGTTTTTCACTCTTTGGGGAAATCTTAATAGCACCCTGTAATCATAATCTCTGACATCTCCTCTGTATGCTGAACTGTGATTTTGAAAAAGAAACCTTATTATATTCATGGAATATTAACTAAAGACAATCTATAATCAAAATATCTCCATAATGTAGTAGTGACACCCCCTTCCCAACTAGGTGATTAGTTTCAAGAGGCTGGAGAGCTTATCTTTTCATCGCTGGATTCCAAGCTCCCTGAACAGTCCTGGAGTAGTCAGAACTCAGTGAACGTGTGGTGAATGAGTGAATTAATAACAACAATACAAACTTACAGAATTTCAAAGTAAAAACTCAGTAAAATTTCATACTAAAAATCTACATGTGAGAAACAAATTTTGTATCTAAAAAACCAATTCAAGTTTGACCACATTAATGAGCAAAACTGAGGAGGAAATTGTCCCAAATAAAAAATGATGCATAGATACTTATTCAGAACTTTGAATTTAACAAAATATTTCTTTGTTAACAGATGATTAAGATATAAAGTGAGGAATGGACTCTAAAAGAACATACCTAGACTTAGATAAATAATTTTGTAACTTCACTATCTTCAAAAAATGACATTAATGATATTACAGGGAGTTCTTGGCCTGAGTGACACAGGACTCAAGAATGAAAATAAGCTTGAATTTCTTCTCTTCCTTTAGCCTGATAATAACAAAGGGTCAACGTGGAAGAAAAGTAAAATTAAACACCACTGTGCTCCTCCTACTACACTTTCTATGAATATGCTTGAATATTATAGGTGACCTTATTTTATATGTAAACCTATTTACGGGACTGATCAAAACAGCTTTTGCTCCCTCTGCTGGTTTTCCAGCAGCAAACTCAAGAGAACCCCCATTACAGAATAGCTATTTTATTTTAGGACTGATACAAAAACAGAGTGGTTGTTCCTAATCTTATTCTGGCTGAAGTAATACCAAAACAACCCGGCAATCACAGCCTGCAACAAAAGAGGAAAGCTGCCTGAACCAGAAAGAGGTGCCACAGTGGCAAATTTGCCCCTGATCTTTTCAGAGCATATTAACAAGCTGTTCCATTACATTTTTTTTGCTACATTACTGGACAGTTTTTAATAGAAAGTTGACTCCAAAGTTTAAGAATCTTAGAAAAAGAATGTGAGGCTCCCAGGCTCCAGCATAAGGATCTGCTCCACCTCCCGATTTTGAGGCTCAGTTTTAAGCAGAACACTTGGTAGCATGCCTGAGAGGTCATGTACCACTTCCCAGCTGTTGCTCCACTTCCTAACTCTTGTCTGCGCTGAACAGAAGCAGTCAGAAGCCGGCACTAGGGCGACCCTAACATCAAGGCAGGGGAACAGGGCCAGAGACCCCAGCCCACCTGGCCAGACAGTTTTCCTCCGCGGCGCATCTCAGGTTATACATAGCCATCTTCTGCACGTATGTAGATGCCTGGATGTAGTAGGGGTCGGGCACCAGGTCCGGGAGACCTAAATGACAATGGGCAACATGGGCAGCAGTGAGACCACCCGGCGCCCCCTTACGCCTGCTCCTGGTTCCTACAGATCCCTTACTACCCTTCTTCCAATGAGACCCCAGAGTGGGGTGAGGGTAGCAGTAGAACTAGGGACATCCAAGCTGCGAAGCAAAGTGGAAAGAAAGCGGGAAGGGCCAGGAGTGGTCTATACCAGATTCCAGAGCCGGTTCTGCCGGCTGGGGTGGGGGTGGTGGGGGGTCGGATAGGGACCAGGGCCCGCCGCGCCCAGGCAGCCACAGCCACGTCGAGGAGCCACGTGACTGGGCACCTTGCACGCCTGTCTCCTGCCGAGGTGGGTGCTTACCATACTGGAAGTAGCCGGTGCCATACCCCGGACGGTACCTGCCTCCGGGCCGGGGCCTCTCGTACGTGTCGTAGTAGTTGTAATAGGGGTTGTCGTCGGAGTACTTGTAGGGGTTATACGGGTCGTCACCCACCATGCGGTCCACGTGGCTGGGCGGCCGCAGGGTGCTGATCGCCGGGAGCTGTGTCGGCTCGGTCCGGTTCCCTGCCCGCGAGGCCGCAGCGTGGCCCGCTTGGAACCAGCGGCGGGCGGCCGGCCCGGGGCGGCGGGGTGCGAACCCTGCAGAGCCCGCCGAGCGCGCCCTTGCCGCAGCCGTGCGGTTGTTGCGCAGGATCAGCACCGGCGTGCGGGGCTGCGGGGCTGCGGCGCCGTCTGCGGCCGGGGTGGCGGGGCTAGGGGCCCGGCGGCGCTGCGGCTGGTACTGTGACCCCAGGCTCAGCAAGCTGAACACCTGCCCATTGTTCTCCCATCGGATCCGGTGGCGCCAGGCGCCCTGAGCAGTCGGCGGGGGCTGCTGCTGGCCCGGGGCCTGCGGGGCGCAGCGCAGAAGGGGACAGAGCTGCAGCTGCCCCAGCAGGAGCACGGTCCAGGCGAAGCGCATCGCTGCCTCTGCCGGAGAGCCCCTCGGGAGGACCTGCCTCCGAGCAAACTAAGTCCCGGCCCGAGTCACGTGAAAGCGGGAGAAAGCTTCGTCCAGGGAGGCGGGCGGGGTGCGGCGTCGCCCACTGGAGTCCGCGTGGGCTGCGGACCCTCCCAGCCCAGGGGCGCGCGGACGTGGCACCGGTTCCTCCGGGCCCCAGGCCTGGAAGGGACGGGATGCGCGGCAGTCCCGGCAAGCGGGCAGTGTCTGGAGTGAAGGAAGGAGGGGAGATGTTAAACTTTCTGGCACGTTTGCAAAGTTACACAAGCCTTCCTGGCCCTGTTGCCCCTCCGCTATTTGTTCACGTAAGGAGATTGGAAACGTGCAGGCGGCTGCGCGAGCCCCTACCCCTCCCCCGCCTCCCCGCCCGCCCTCCTCCACCAGACACGTTGCACGGGGCGCTTTAAGGGGAAAGAGCAAAACGGAGCACACATCCCGAGACACACTCAGCTTAATCTGGGGCGAGCATGCAGGAATTTCAAAAGACTCAGACAGGCGAAGGCAGCCAGGCCATGGGCTGACGCCAAAATATGCATGAAGAAAAATGCTATTAGGTCACCAGCCCTAGCAAGGCCAGGCGGGAAGGCAGGAGGTGGGGAGGGTGCTCGGGCGAAAGTGTGTGTGTAGGGGGAGGCAGTTGTGACTCATGTTTATCCATAAAGGAGTTAACCAGACACATTTCCCAATGTTCACTCATTCGCTTTTATGGGAAGTGCCCTCAGCAAATAAACTCCAGGATATCAAATTTTGTTTTTCTGACTGTAGGTAATGTGAGAAATGGGTTACAAATCTGTTTCCTACAGTGAATATTTTAATAACCAAAAGTGAAATTTTACAGGAACAAAACTTGCTAATGCTGAAACAATGAACAAACCTATCTCTTTCAAAATGCCGGTCTGATTTGCACTCTGAGAGAAAAGGAGACATCCTCGTATCTCCATCTTCCACCGCACCAGGGAGTCTTTGGTCTGCCTAAGAGAGCTCTCAGAAAGCGTCTTCAAGCATTTAATCTGACTTTTCCACCTTCCTTCACCTAATGAGGTTTAGCTTTGAATTTTACAAATTTAAATCACCATTGTCAAATATTAAAAATCGAGTCTCCTGTGGTGTTTCATTTACCTTTTAATCTAAAGAAATGGTTTCAAAAGAAACAGACTTGGAGTCAGAATTTGGTAAAAAGAAGTAGGGGTGGTCAGAAGAAATATGGGAAGGTGGATAAACTATGCTGACTGGAGAGAGATGCTTAATAAACCAGTTACTCACACACAGCTAGGAGTTTTGCAGTGTGGGAAGCCTAGCAAAGAACACTGCTGCTAAATGCCTCATTTAAAACTACTGTACAAAACTAGATCTGGATAACTTTTTTACTGGTCTCATCATTGTGTTGTCTAGATAGATATATGTCAGTATCCACTTATCTCCATTAGCCTCTGACCTTCCGCAATTGATCAGTACTTTTTAGTACTGTGGACATCTGCTGCTTTCACGAATTCAGATCCATTTTTCTTTTCTTTCTATTGAGGACAACTGTATGTTCTTTAGGAAACATCTTCTCCCCAGTGGCATTCTGCAACTGACTGACCATTCATGAGTCTTCCCTCCAGGTGTGGTCATGAGATCCTGATCTGGCTAACCAAATTGACTTGCTAGACTTTGAATCTCAAATAGAAAGACAAATGGTCAAAAACACTGCTTCTTCCACTACTACTTAAAAAAGGGTTCCATTAGGTCTTAGTATTATGCAGCTCCTTTGATTGTTTCAGTCTAGTACATTCCAAGACCTAGTATTTCAGCTTTTCCTTCAATTTTTCCAATGCATTTTTTTGTGGCTTTCCATAGTCAGATTCAATTACTGCTTTCTGCCACCTAAGAACCTTGACATGCTGAGGAGGTTGTGGCTGGTTCTCTGAGCTAATTAAACCACATGATTCTGGGTCCAGGGTGATGGATCTGTCTTTAAGTCATATTAGACTTGCTCTGCCCATGACCATGCAGCATCCTTGGTCACAAAGGGAGATTAGAGGGAAGCTTGCCATGAGCAAATCTATTGCTTGCATGAGGAAAATAAAAATCCAAGTGCATCTTCACGTTAACAATGAATTTTTTCTGAATAAAAGCCCGTAACATCTGCGTCATTTTACACTTTCTGCAGTGCTTAAAACTATACTACTCAGTTTCTCCAAATTCAATAAGAAGATGAAATAAGAATCAGGTGTATATAATTTTTTTTTTTCGGTACCGGGGATCGAACTTGGGTCCTTGCGCTTGCGCAGCAGGCAGCGAAATCACTGAGCTAAATCCCCAGCCCAAGGTGTATATAATTTTGATAGATGAAATTATAGAATAAGCAGGAAGGTATAGAGTATAATTGTCTCTTATCTGAAAAAGGCTCTGCAATATGTCCATGAACAGCGTACTGTTCAGAAGAGAAAGGCCCAAAACTGTTATTAATTGACCACAGGTTCTTGAGGGAAGACCTCTGCTGTAGAGGGCATGCCGTTAGGGTGGCAGACCAAAGCAGCCTCGAGTTGGAGGGTGGAAAGTTTATACTGGATTGCAGATAAATTAATTTTGTTCCCCATCCTGATGGCTTTCATTTGTAAAAAGCTACATGTATCCTTGTAGAGCTGATGTGCTTTCTCTGAGTCTTAGTTATTAGTAGTATTCAAGGTTTAATCCAAATATTTTGAAAAGTATTTTTCCTAGTTTTAAAATACCTGTTTGGTATGTCTATCCAAGATATTCCTACTATTTTCAAGTCATTTACTATTTTCCAGTATGATTATTATGACTATGAATATTTAATCAAATGATTCCTTTATTGGACTTTAAAACATTAGGTATATTTTCTGTGTGTAAGTTGGAACCTTCAGATTACAATTTTCTTTTTCTACATTTTTCCCATCAGTAAAATCACATATTTATTTATGTTATAAATATCTCTTGATCACATTCACAATATAGTGATGATTTGCACATATGAGCACTAAAATTTTATAGCTGAATGAGATTGATCATTTTTTCATATTTGTGTCAAGAGACTTAAAATGTTTACCAAAATATAAGTAATTGGCTAGAACAGTAATGTTGTGTACTATTTATTTTCTTTTAAACAGACACAAACACTCACACATTTACAAAGTAGGAGGGAAAAAAACACATTACCCATTGTCATATTGTCACATAACCTAGTGAAAAGCTTAGATGACTTCCTCTCTCTCATTTACTCTAAATTCTCTCTGGCTTACAACTCAGCCAGCTGAAAAACAAATATGTGGCCACCACACTGGGGACAATAGAAAATGTTCACAAGCCCCGTGAGAGACAATCTAGCCATACATGGTGCTGTTTAATGGCATAACTATTAATTACAAAACTGGAGAAAGATGGCAGAGTGGTGAACAGAACAGAAACAGTCTCTCTAAGATTTGGTGTCCAGACATTGGAATATAGCAATGTGAGGAAGATAGGAAGAAGGGAAGTGGGTCTCTGGGACCCAGCAATGATCTGAAGTGAGAATTGAGGCCCAGGGGGAGAGCAAGAAGGGAGACTTCAATGAAGAAGAAGGAAGTGGCAAGCTGTGGTTTCTCCCTGAGCCCTGACTTACTGTGTAGGAAGGGCAGCTCAAGCCTGCAGATGCTTGGTGACTACTGGCAACCCCAGAGGCCTCCACGGAGAGATGCACCAGTAGAACAGAGCAGAGCAGTGGACTGTAGTGCCTGGTAAATTATTCAGGTTCAGATGGCCCCAGGAGAGGGCAATTGGCCAGTCATCATCTTGGAGAGGGGCTAACTGAGCTCAGAACTCAGAGCAGCTATAGGCTGACTCCATCACATTGAGAATGAACCGAATTCACGTCAGCCAGAAGTCAAGAAGCCAAGTCCAAGCTGGCAGGCAGCCGAGTTCAAACCAGCAGGAGGTACAGAATGTTGTAGGGTGAGCAAATTGAGTTCCAGCCTCACATCCAGAGACCAGCCTGTGCTTCAGAACTAAATGTGCAGATTTGCTGGGATTATCCACTACCCTACTATAAATCTGTGGCTGGCTTGTTGGGATTAATTAACATGGATCTGGGCTCTTGTGCCTAACTTGTCTACCAGCAACAGGAGAGACACACCTTGAAGTGGATAATTTTTTTCTTATCTTTTTACTTTGTCTTTTCTTATTTCTAGTTTTCTTTTTTTGATTGTTTGTAGGGAACAGGGAAAGGGGACATTACTAGAACCTTTGCAGTAATTCTAGTATCCTGTGAGCCACAGCAGCACAAGGTGAATTAATTTATTATACAGGAAAGGTAGGAAAAAAGTGAGACTTTGAGAAGAAGCTGAGCTTTGGGTCTGATCAGTGCTGCTCTGGGTGGCAAAGAGGAAAGACCCCAGTTTACCACGCCTTTTATTCAGTACATCAGGAGAAACAAATGTAACACATGACTTGCAGAGAGTTCAGTACATCGGGATAAACAAAGTGTAACAATCCAAGAACAATGAGGAACTGAGTAGATGAAGATTTTGTTCCTCCCAGGATGTCTTCAGCTGGTGTATCTTGTCCTGGAGCGTCACAGCATCACTGGATCATTGAGGTCTCATTGGGACCAGGGGCCAAAATGGAATTATGTCTCAAATGGCCATAACTGGCCTGTAGGCAGAACTAGGTCTAATCAAATGATTTCCCCCTAAAATTATGTAGTATTGCTCCTGATAATTGTTCTTGTTTTTATATAAGTGTGAACATTGTTTCTAGTTTTTTTGTTGTTCTGTTCTGTTTTTATTTCTTCCTTCTCTCTTTCCCTCCTTTCCTCTTCATCAGTTTTGCAAAGTTTGCATAATCTTTCTTTGTCCTCCAGCCTTACTTCTAATCTCTTACTTTTCTTCTATTTTTCTATTATTTTCCCCCTAACCCCTTTTAAATGTCTTCCCTTGAGGGTAAAATCACCATACAGAGGGCATATTTACTGCATACAATTTTCTGGTTTGTTTTAGATTTTTGTTATATAACCACAAATATAGTTCATATGGTTAAAAGTGGCAAATTAATAGTTACCACAGTTCGTCATTTTCTAGGCTGTATTGGATACTGTTGTTATTGCTGATTGTGTTATTTTGGCGAAGGCATCATAATTGTTCTAATCAGTTGTTCTTCCTGGTATGCCAAGACTGAGATTGCCTGGAGTCATAAACAATACTATAGGCCAGTGCCAAAGAACTAGAGGCTAGGCCAAATAGACAGCAATTTCTCATCACCAATAAATTGAAGAGGTAGGATCTTGCAACAGACTTGAAACTCAAAAGCCAGCTACACCTGGAAGACA